ACGTCCCTGTAATTAGAATTTTAAAGAGACAATGATTAAGAATATATCCAAACAACCACCTCTAACAAGCCACTTAGAATGATATAACAACAAGAATGACATAATAAAAGACAGCAGCACCTTTCCCCAATTAAGGCTGAACACGGGCACTCGTAACTACATGCGAGACACCTGCCTTATTTAGCCAATCAGAACGCAGGATTTCCACAAGGGCGACTCCCATTGGAGGGCGATCGGTCTCGCTGACCAAATAAGCGACTGTCCTGCACCTCGCTGCTTCCTTCGTGGTGGGAGCCTCGACGATCATCTTTACAGTCGTTGTCATGTTAAAGAGTGGCAAAGACGTCGGCTTTTACGTGTAACATTTAATCATTTACAAAACGAATAAGCGTGTGTGTGTGTGTGTGTGTGTGTGTGTGTGTGTGTGTGTGTGTGTGTGTGTGTGTGTGTGTGTGTGTGTGTGTGTGTGTGTGTGTGTGTGTGTGTGTGTGTGTGTGTGTGTGTGTGCCCGCGAGCGTGTGTAGTGAGTAACCTGATAGTCCGAACTCCCGCGCGTGAGTGGTTGGGTCCCACTGAAAAAATACATTTATTTCTGTGAATGTTTCTCATGAGGTCTCCGAAGCATTTCATCCTCCCAGGGGTGTTTGTGGAGCTGCAACGGCCCGGCGAAAGCGACAAGGAATGCAACAAACTCATGAAGTTCGTCCAGCAGAGGAAGATAAAATTTCAATGAATGCAAAAGCCTGAGGTACCTTTCTACGCGGTTCCTGCCCTTTTCAGGACGCACGGGCACCTTGTTCGCCAAGCGTACTCAGCGCGACGAGCGACGGGAAGGACCATGGGCAAGCTTAGTAAATTGGGACACCTGACTCTCGTCTGTATGTGGATGGCTCCTATATGCCACAGCTTTCTGCCTCAGCTTCCTCTTACCCCACTCCTCTACCTCCAACTCCACCGTCTGCGCCTCCGGGTCCCCCTCCCTTCCCCTCGTCTCCCCTTTTGCCTCGCCCATACCTCACAGACACCCTTATCCTACCCCTTCGGCTGCCCCTATTCCTACCCCCCCTACCGCTTACCCTACACCTACCCATGCTCCTATGCCAACCCTTCCCCTCCCATCCCTCTTTCTACCCTCCTCCTATCTCTCTTCCTCCCCTCCCTTCCCTCGATCACTCCCTCACCCCCTTCCCCTCCCACCCCTAGATGCCGCGCCGGCCCACCTGGCCATAAAGCCTCGGCCACGGTGGGCGGCCAGAGAAAGCCGAACGGGCGTTCTTCCGAATATGTTCATCCTTCTCAACGTATCTATGACCTCGCGGGCGCGGCTCTGGGTCAAGCAGCTTCCAGGAGGGGCGTCGCGTGCCGTGCTGCAAGGCGGGAAACGCAGCTGACGGAGGCGAGCGTCTGAGAGAGGAGCAGAAGGAAAAAATGCCGGAGAGAAAAAGGGTCTTGTCTGCGGGGCAATCTCTGACGTCACGAGGGAATGGAATGCCAGGTTGGCGATCCTCGAACGGGAGGCGAGGCGCTGGACGGCGTGCGAAGGGGAGGCAGATTGGGAGAGACTGAGGCGTGCACGCGTTCTATCTGGCGCACAGATAGAAATGTAGAAACAGGTACTGTGTAGTTGAAACACAAACGCACATGCACGTACACTTACACATGCACATGCATACATATACACAGAAAAACACACACAAAAAAGCACACACACACATGCATCTACACGTGTAACCAGAAAAAAGTAAATAAACCCCTGAAATTCATCGCTCCTTTTTTCTTTTTTGCCATTCCTCTCATTTCTCTTTCTCTTCCTCCTCTTCTCTCTCTTATCTAACCCATCCTCTCCTTTCCTTCCCCTGTTATCTTTCACTCCGAAGCTTCTCTTTGCTCCGAATCCCCCACCACGAAGTCTCTATTGAGGCCGAGCCAACGAGCCGCAAACCGGATACAGCTTCTTGTGCAGACTTTTCCTCCAAATGCTCGGCTGAGCAGCGCCTCCTCCTCCTCTCTCCTCCTCCTCCTCCTCCTCCTCCTCCTCCTCCTCCTCCTCCTCCTCCTCCTCCTCCTCCTCTCCTCCTCCTCCTCCTCTCCTCCTCCTCCTCCTCCCGCTCCTCCAACGCGAGGACCTGGCTCTCGCCTTGAGGTGCCTTGCCTTCGGTGCCATTTTAATATTCAAATATATATCCTTTAAAGGTATGTGTAAATGAACAAGATGCTAAATGGACAGCTTGGTAAATAACTACACCGAGGATAGGGCAAATGAATGACAAAAAATAATCCATTAATAAATATACAATTAATAAAAAAAAAAAAATCAGTAAAGCAATGACAAATTCCAAAAGTACTATAAGTAAACAAACGCACATTATAATAAAAAAAAAAAAACGCATAAATAACGCAAAGATCGGGATCCTCACAAAAAAATAACAAAAAAAGCGAGCAGTGTCCCGCAGCCCCTTCCCCCCTCCCCCCCCCCCGTCCCCCACTGGCCCACAACCCCTTCACAGCCAAGAAGCAACAACCGCGCCAGAGGAAAAAAAAAGTCCACGCCGAAGCCCAGCCTAACACGAGACGCGTAAGGGTGAGTCAGTGAGCCTTTTACGGCCACACACTTTTCTCGGGTTCCTCGGCCCACGCGGCGCGGAAGGGGGTCAGGCGGACCGGGGGGGGGGGGGGGGGGTCCTTCCTTTGGGGTACTTATTAATGATGACAATGAGAAGAATTATCATCATTACTACTAGTATTATTATTATTACTATTATTATTATTATTATTATTATTATTATTATTATTATTATTATTATATTATTATTATTATTATTATTATTATTATTATCATTATTATTATTATTATTACTATTCTCATTATTATCACTATTACTATTATTTTTATCATTATTATTATCATTATTACTATAATTACTATCATTATCATTATTATAATTATTATTATTATTATTATTATTATTATTATTATTATTATTATTATTATTATTATTATTATTATTATCATTATTATCATTATTATCATTATTATCATATTATCATTATCATTATTATCATTATCATTATTATTATGAATTGTTACTATTATGATTTTTACCATTTTAGTATTACAATTATTACTACAACAACAACAATAATAATAGTAATAATTAAACAATTAAAAGTATCTAAAAATTATAAGACAGTATCATTGCCATCATCATCATCACTATTATCACTGACATCACCACTAATCTAACATCACATCATCATCATATAATCATAGCCATAAACTTTTAATTTCATCAGCATCCTTCTCCCCAAAAAACAAAAGTAAGTAAACAGAAGACATCATAAACCAACAACACATTCGAATTCCTTTAAATGCAATCCGGAGAAGTATAAACACCACTAAGATCGGATTTCTGTCACCCAAAAGGGAGATTCATAAACGCGGGAAAGGTTCTGGCGCTTATGACTGCCGCGCGGTGACTGGCGCTTCTAAACCGATTTGGCGCCTCCGAGTCTGGAATCGGATCCCCCTCCCGCGCCCGCTTGTAGTTTCCAGTGCTTTGGATTCGAGGCTTCGTAAACAATGGGCTTGCGCTTGTGAGTTGAAGTCGTAGAGTAAGAATAATAACAATGGTTGTGAATGTGTTGATGAGGCTAGTGCTGTTCATAACATTACCACTTAAGAAACAAGTAACAGTAATCATAACAATATAAAAGTAAAAATAGTAATGATGACAACAGTAAAAAGTAATAAACAATAGACAATAATATGATAATAATAATAATGATAATAATAATGATAATAATAATAATGATAATGATAATAATAATAATAATACCAATAAAATAATAACAATACCACCAAAATCAATAACAAGAGCATCAATAGCAATAACGGTAACAACAGCGAAAACAACAATGAGCAAACGAAGAAACAAAGCGCGCAAAGAAGAACAGAAATCGAGAAGCCGCGTCGCTCTCAATCAGCTGATCTGTCCCGCCGTGAGGCCGCCTCGCGCTCCTTCTAAAAATAGCAATGACGCAATCGTATCGCCTATAAATTGGCCTCGTCGGTTCCGTCGGCGAGCGAGGCAGAGGCCGAGGGCGTCGTCCCGGGAAGGCTCCCCCTCGGCGACACGGCGGCGGAGGAAGGATCGGAGGATGCTCGGCACGAGAGGCTAATATGGTTTTTTCCTTCTATTTCTTCTATTTTTCGATATTCTCATTCATTTTGCTTTGTCTTTTATTTCATTATTTTTTAGACTAAACTGCAGGAGAAGAGCCGACGTTCCGAGATGAAAGTCGCCTTCCAAACTAGGGAAAGGGAGACTAAAAAATCCTAAAAAGAGGGGAAACTGCGACAAACTAAATCTCGGGAGACCGAAGGAGGCGCAAGATTCCACAGACAGAAGGAATAAGCAGACGGTGATGGCGGAAGGAGTCGAGCAGGACGGAGAAGCAGAGAGAGCGAGTCGATCGTCTGACGAACCGCTGACGTCCCGCCCAACATCCGGTGCAAGCATCGCACACAGGCGGGAGCGAGGAGGTTTCTAAGAGCCTCTTGTCCTTTTACGTCTGGGGCGCGAGGGTCGAGTCCTCACGCCCGCGAGAGACAAAAGGGGCGTAACCGACACATACCAAGAATCGTCTAGAATCTTCCGGATGAAAAGAGAAAAAAAAAAAAAAAAATTCCGATATATCACACTTGAGATAAAAGTTGGAAAAAAAATGTGTATATATATACATATATATATATATATATATATATATATATATATATATATATATATATATATATATATATATATGCACCAGACGTTTTATATAAAAAAAAGTCCACTGATAACGATTCATCTAACCACACGACCAACCATAAACAGACAACAAAAAAATAGTTTTCCGAAAGACCGAAGGTGTGACAGCCTCCCTCCCATACATCGAACCGGCTTCACCCCGCCCTGCCCCCCCCCCCCCCCCCCCGTGACAAGGCCTCTGTTACTCACCATGTAGAGGTTCTTGTTCTCGTAGAGGTCGTTCACCTGGAAGAGGTCCTGGCTCTTGAGGCCGTAGCTCTCGCACCCCTTCAGGAACATCTCCAAGTTCTCCCTCTGGAACGCCAAGAGAAAACAACAGGATTAGGACTTGCTGATTCATAGCCTTTATCATCAAGCCTTTTAAATGTGTAAAGAAAACGGAGCAGGACCCCTTCAAGAGCGGCTGTTAATTTCCTTTTACGATAAGCAGCTGTTTGGCCTACTTAGCGTCCTCCTTTTGTTCCATTTGCGACGGTGACCTACTGGTCCAAAACGGAAATATCCCTGCTGTGGTTATCACTTGTTGTTAATATTTAGGTTCTCTCTACTATCCTATTTTTATCTTTGTCACTATCATTGTCATTATCCTTACCATTATCATTACCATTATCGTCATCAGCACCCTTAGTAACAAACATTATCATTATTGCTAACAGGGCTATTACTATTAGCAAAGCCATTATCGTCAGTATCATTATTGTTATTTTTGCACTATAACTATCATCGCCATTATTATAGTCTTCATTTGCGTTTTCCTTACCGATATCGTATCGTTATGCTTATTGTTATCATAACTGCCATTATTAATATATTCACTATCAACATAATTACTATTATCATATATCATCACTATGTCAACCATAATTATTATAATTATTATTACCGTATATCATTATTGTATTTATATATCATTATTATTATCGTATATCATTATTGTATCTATATATCATTATTATTGCTATTATCACCATCAGTAGCACTTCTATCATTATAATCTTATCCTCATTACTATCGCCATCATTATCATGCCATTATCATGTTCTCATCATCGCTGTCATCACTGGTACGAAGCATAATGTCTTGAGAAACGAGACGATTTGATAAATATACAAAGAGTCATTTAACTTGCAAAGTGAAATCGTAAAAAATCTCGTGTTTATGGCCATGAATTTTAATGTCCTTCCTTTTTTATCACGAAGCTACGACTGCGATTCTCACACTCTTTTGTCTGAGATTTGCTTTATTCTTACTAGAGTTTTTTCTTCATTCTCTTTTAACCACTATCTGTTGGTTATGATTATCTATTCTTATCATTATCTAGTGCACGTCATTATCTGCTTTGATCATTATCTACTTTTTCACAGCTTTACTTTTATCATTATCTAGTTTATATCATTATCTATACTTTTATCGTTATCTACTTTCCGTCACCATCAGCCTTCACTCTGCACCTAGTCTATCTATCAACATCTCCCCCTTGCTCTCTGTCTCCTAAACAGAGAAGAAAAGCAGGAAGCGAGAGAAGCAGAAGGGGGCGTGTCTCGTGAAGTGGAAGTAACCATAGTTTGCCTTTTTTGGACGCAGATCCTCCCGAGTGCGCGGCGACGTCCTTAAGAACGCCGCCGTCATCTTAAGGGCTAGATCTGGGTTAGGCTGAGGAGGGGAAGGGGGGCAAAGGGAAAGGGGAGAGGAGGAGGAGAAGGAGGAGGAGGAGGAGGAGGAGAGGAGGAAGAGGAAAATGAAGGAGGGAAGAAGAAAAGAGGAGGAGGAAGGAAGATGAAGAAGAGGAGGAGGAGGAGAGAAAATGAGAAGGAGGAGGAAGGAGAAGATGAAGATAATGAAGATGAAGAAGAGCAGGGTTAAAGGAGAAAGGAGAAAGTAGGAGAACGTAGAAAAAGGAATGAATTGGCATCAATGCCTTCACAGCATTTGGCAGATCTCGATGAGAGACGAGATCGCACACGCGAATAGCAGCAAAATACAAGACAGGAGGACACGCATGAGAGCAGCAATCAGCGAAGAGGGGAAAGTGGAAGAGAAAGGCCAAGGAACAAAGGAGATCCAGTCCCAGTCGCACCGGAAGTCTCCCGCCACTCCCAGGTGCGGGCGCATGGGCGGGATCGGCACGTGGGCGCGCGCTGAATACTCTCCCGAAGGAGGGAATATTCCCGGCCGGATGGTGGAGGCTCGACGCGACTTCCAGCGGGTCGAGCCTCTCCTCCTTCGGGAACGGGAAGGGACATTTTCAGTCTTCCACAGACACACGCGCTTATGCACACGTATACACATACATATATAAATGCACACACATACAAACACACTTACTCTTATGCACACACACACACACACACACACACACACACACACACACACACACACACACACACACACACACACACACACACACACACACACACACCACACACACACACACACACACACACACATGTATATATATATATATATATATATATATATATATATATATATATATATATATATATATACTCCTCAGTTTAGGTCAAGGGGCGTAAAAATCATATAAGGAAGTAAATTTTTTTTAAATCATGTCCCTCCCATTAAACGTGGGGCCTTATCCGTCACCCCCCCTCCCCCCTTCGTCCCCATTCCCCTCCCTCCGCTCCCCTACTCTACCCTCTATTACCTTACCATTCCCTCCCTCCCTCCTCCCTCCACTCCCCTCCCTTCCCCTACTCAACCCAACCCAACCCTACCCTACCCTACCCTACCCCTACCCTACCCTACCCTACCCTACCCTACCCTACCCTACCCTACCCTACCTACCCTACATTCCTACCTTTACCTCACCCCATCCCTCCACTCCCCTCCATTCCCACTCCCCCTCCCCTCCCCCTCCCCCCCCCCTCCTATTCTCCCACCCCTCCCCCTGCCCATGCGCTGACAGGCGCCCAGCCCCCGCACCGCAGAATAACACATCGCGCCCGACTCGAGCAGAGGTCCTGACAGGTCCTGGCTGACTCCACCCTCCACGTGGCAACAGCTGACACCCAGGCTGAGGGCGAGTGGCTGACGGGGAAGAGAGGGAGGACTAGGCTGTGTCTACACCTCTTGTGCTGTTGCTTCGTCTGTCTGGGTGTAAGGCTGCATCCGTTGTCTGTCTGTCTGTGCATGTGCAATGCGCGGTGTGCATGTGTGTTTATCTCTATGGTTGATGTCTCTCTGGGTCGGAGAGCCGACGTCTGCCAGTCTGTGTCCCCAGTTTTCTCTCTCTTCATTTTCATTTTCTCTCTTTGCTTCGTCCTCTTCCTCTTTCTCATCCCTCCTCCCTCCTCCCCCTACCTCCCCCACCTTCTCCTCCTTCCCCTCCCCTTACCCCCCCTTCCTTCCCTCTCCCTCTCCTACCCCATCATCCTCTCCTCCTCCCAAAGCTGAAAACAAATTCTCCTTCTCTCTCTCTCTCTCTCCTTCTCTCTTTCTCTCTCCTTTATCTCTCTCTCCTCTTTCTCTTTCTTTTTCTCTCTCTCTCTCTCTCTTCTCTCTCTTTCTATTTCTCTTTCTCTCTCCTTTCTCTCTCTCTCTCTCTCTCCTTCTCTCTCTCTCTCCTCTCTCTCTCTCTCTTCTCTCTCCTCTCTCTCTCTCCTCTCTCCTTCTCTCTCTCACTCTCTCACCCTTTCTCTCTCTCACTCTCTCACCCTTTCTCTCTCTCACTCTCTCACCTTTTCTCTCTCTCACTCTCTCACCTTTTCTCTCTCTCACTCTACCTTTTCTCTCTCTCACTCTCTCACCTTTTCTCTCTCTCACTCTCACCTTTCTCTCTCTCACTCTCTCACTTTTCTCTCTCTCACTCTCTCACCTTTTCTATCTCTCACTCTCTCACTTTTCTCTCTCACTCTCTCACCTTTTCTCTCTCACTCTCTCACTTTTCTCTCTTCTCTCACTCTCTCTCACTCACCTCTCTCTCACTCTCTCACCTTTTCTCTCTCTCACTCTCTCACCTTTTCTCTCTCTCACTCTCTCACCTTTTCTCTCTCTCACTCTCACCTTTTCTCTCTCTCACTCTCTCTCACCTTTTCTCTCTCTCTCTCTCACCTTTTCTTTCTTTCTTTCTTTCTTTCTTTCTTTCTTTCTTTCTTTCTTTCTTTCTTTCTTTCTCTTTCTCTCTCTCTCTCTCTCTCTCTCTCTCTCTCTCTCTCTCTCTCTTTTCTCTCTATCTTCTCTCTCACCTTTTTCTCTCTCTCTATCTCTCTCACCTTTTCTATCTCTCTTTCTCACCTTTTTTTCTCTCTCTCACCTTTTCTCTCTCACCTTTTCTCTCTCTCTCACCTTTTCTCTCTCTCTCACCTTCTCTCTCTCTCTCTCTCTCTCTCTCTCTCTCTCTCTCTCTCTCTCTCTCTCTCTCTCTCTCTCTCTCTCTCTCTCTCTCTCTCTCTCTCACACACCTTTTTTTTTTCTCTCTCTCACACACACTTTTTTTCTCTCTCTCTCACCTTTTCTCTCTCTCTCTCTCTCACCTTTTCTCTCTCTCTCTCACCTTTTCTCTCTCTCACTCTCTTTTCTCTCTCTCGACTTTATTTTCTCTCTCTCTCTCCTTTCTCTCTCTCTCCCTTTATCTCTCTTTCTCTTTCTCTCTCTCTCCCTTTCTCTCTTTCTCTCCTTCCTTTGCTCTTACTTCCTTTCTATCCCTCCCTTTCTATTCCCCTTTCTCTACCCCTTTCTTTCTCTCTCTCCATCCCTCTTTCCGTCTGCATTTATTTCTCCCTTATTTCCCGTTCGATCTATCTTTCTATTCTCTCCCTCTTTCTATACCCCTTTCCCTCCCCCCCCCCTTTCTCACTCCCGTTCCCTCTCTCTTTCCTTCTCCCTTTCTCCCTCCCTCCCCCCTCCATTCCTCCTTCCTCCTCTTTCCTTCACCCTATCCCTCTCCCTTTCCTTCTTTTCTCCCTGCCTTTCCCTTTCTTTCTTCTCCCCTTTTCTCCCTCCCTTCCCCTCTCCCTTTTCATCTCCATTTCCCGTTCCTTTACCTCACCCTTTTTCTCTCTTTTCCTCTTCCCCTTTCTCCTTCCCTTTCCCTCTCCCTTCCACCCCTTTTCACTCTTCTTTCCTCCCTTTTCCCTTTTCCCTCTCCCTTCTCCATTTCCCTTCTTCCTCTCCCCCTTTCCCTCTCCCTTTCCCTTCTCCCTCTCCCTTCCTCTCCCTTTCCGTCTCACCTGTTTGAACGGCGCTTTCATAGTGTTGATTCGCTTGACTGCGCCTGGCTGGAGGCAGTTCAACAACCTGCGAAAGGAGACAAACATTAGTTCTTTTTCCCATAGCTTCTTTTACCATGAATATGAACAAACGCCAAGTGATTTATGAATTGTCCTTTCCATCTTAAAGCAAATAATAAAATGTTCTCATCACGTGTGCAAGGGTGTGGGCACAAGCGCATGCGCGTGAGGGAGCTCCGGCAAGGCACTCAACTGCTAGACGTGACAAGGCTGTAACTTTGAAAGAACAAATCCGACCTACACTGATTATCGTTGGGCCTGATTTTTGGCAATCAAGGCTTTCACACGCGGGCGCCCGTTCCCCCAACCCACAGGCAAACAGAAGACAGTCTTGTAATATGTAAATGTGTGTGTGCGTACGCGTGCCTGTCTCTGCCTGACTGTCACACACACACACACTTCCCTGAATGTCCCAAAGCCTACGCGCTCTACGTGCGTAATTGGACCCAAACAAAGACAATCTTGTCTACAGAAACCACTTGCGAAACTTCCCTTTCCAAAAAGCAAACAAACGAAGCGTTTTCGGGTCGGCGCAATAACGGATGTGAAACAAGGCCAGCGATGCGTCGGCCATCCTGTGTACTTACGGCCGCGCGAAATGGCCCTTGAGTGTTCTTGGTAGTAAGCACGCAACATCCTCAGATTTAAAGGATCTATTTAGGACTTCTCGGGACACATCACGAGGCCGAGTGCGATTCCCATGACGCATCTGGACGTAAACATTTCGAATCGCCTTGCGCAACAGGGCCGGCGTCAGAGGCACGCTTCGCGGCGACGCGTTTAAGGAAAGCTTCAGAAAGTGTTGATAACAGCAGCCTACATTTTGAGGCCCTGGCGTCAGTGCATGACAGTGGAGGACTAGCTGCCATACCCACCCTGATGAACCACAGGGTCTGACCCACCTCTGAAAGGACACCACAGGTCTGACCCCGCCTTGCCTTGCCCGCCCTGAGGAGCCACAAATAACTGTCAGGTTACGACAGGGACACCACAGGTCTGTGATCTGACCCCGCCTTCCCTTGACCCGCCTTGAGGAGCCATCTGAAGGAGCCACAGGGTCTGACCCCGCCTTGCCTTGCCCGCCCTGAGGAGCCACAGGGTCTGACCCCGCCTTGCCTTGCCCGCCCTGAGGAGCCACAGGGTCTGGCCACTCAGCCTCTCCCTGTCACGGACATGTTCACCCTCCTCCCCCACGCCCGCGGGTGCGCCGCCAAGAAACAATAAGCGTAACAAGGGCGGCTCCACGGCCGGGACGACCTGAGCTGTGATATCTCCCACGCACCCCTTCAGAGCTCTCACTCGAGGCCATACGGGCCACGCAGGACAACAATGGTGCCCTCTGTCTCGCCTCCGCGCCCCCTCGCAGCTCCGGCGGGCGGCGGGCGTCGCTCGCAGGGTTCGGTCGGCGCCGGGCGCGGTCGTCGCTTTCCTCGCTCTCATCTTTCGCTCTCTTCTCGCCTCTATTCTCTTCTATTCTACTCTACTCTCCTCCTTCTCTCACTAACCCTAATTCTCACTTACACTTTCACTTACTCTAACTCTCACTCTCTCTCGCTCACTCTCACTCCCTTTCGGCGGAGGTCACCGCCCATGGCACCGCCTCTGGCTTATGGCAACCGCCACGCTCGGGTTCCTTGAGAACATGACGAGATCACAATGAAAATATCCCTTGTGTCTATGTGCGTGCGTGCGCGCACGTTTGTGTACATGACAAGTAGGAAAAGCAGAACCCAAGTCGCCTCGACCAAGGACGAGCCGCCATCTCGCGAGGCAACCCGGCGACCGGCAGCGCCGCCGCCGCCGCCGCGGCACGCGACGCGGAAAGGCGTAATCTAATTGCCTTCGCACACGGAACACAGGAATTCAAGGCTGAGAAAATTATCGGTTTCCTGGAGAATTACTTGGCCGCGCGCGGTGGGCCTTTGTTCACGCGGAAATGGCCGCATAAAACTGGTATAAACAAAACCCCGTTTTTGTTCACTGTACAATCAGCCATTGTTCAACCCAGCGCTATTTCTTTAAAGGGCGCCGCGCTATGGAATAAACCAAAATGGAGAAACCGCAGATTCACAGAAAAAATATAAACAATCGCTTTCCGAGAACGCGTCGACTCCGAACGCCATAAAATGCGTATGTTTTTTCTTGCGAAACCAGACGCCGCGAGATACCTGGTAACCCAGATGGTGACGTCATGGCCGGCCGAGGGGACAAGACCTTGACTTTTTTCACCGATTCTATTTCAAAATTCTGCCTGCCAGGCCTACTTTTCATCCGATAAAACAAACAAAGCAAAACCTCAAAATGCATTTCATTCGCCGCCGAAGCCTACTTCAAGGCATCCGACCTCCTCTGAATCAGCCCCAACCCCTTTGGCGTCGGCGTAGAGGAATGAACTTGGTCTTGGGGCAGTTGCGTGCCGGAATGCGGGAGGACGAGGTCTGGGGTCCGGCCCGTGCTCGGCCTGCCAACGCTCACGCAAGGCGAGGGTCGCCGAGGACGGGAAAGCACGGGCCTCTGGTGTGCACGCGCGCCTCCGGCCCCCGCGCGCGCTGCAGGTCCGGAGGGCTTCGCGGGAAATGCGCGATTGGCGAAAGGTCCTTCTGGAGGAGGAGCTGCTCTGGGGATTCGGCCATGAAACATCCCGGCCTTGCCAAATCAGGGGATACTTTTTTTATTTGTATTACTATTTCATCCTTCCATTTCTCTTTCTCTTCCTTTCTCCTTAATTCTTTATTTCTAACTGGCTTTATCTTCATTCCATGCTTATTCACCCCTTCTCCTTAGCAGTCTACGCTTCGAGTGCGAACGAAAGCCATTTGTCCGCCGGCAGCCGAGTCCCCGCCAGGCGGTCCGCCAGCGTTATGCCGTCACGCGGGACTTCTTGTTGGTGGGCGTGAAGGAGCAAGGCGTCGTGTTTTGTATGTGTGTCAGACAGACACAGTCACGCGTGGACACACACGCGCACACGCACACACAGACACACACACACACACACACACACACACACACACACACACACACACACACACACACACACACACACACACACACACACACACACACACACACACACACACACACACGAACACACACACATCCAAACAGACACATACACAGACAAGGAGACAGACAGATACACACAGACAAGGAGACAGACACACAGCCATACAAAAGCAGAAGGAGACAGACAGGCAGCCAGATCCGCAGCCCGAGGGCCAGCCAGGCAGCGCCGCCCCGAGCCCCTTGGCAGGCAAAAAGCTCGCCCTCGCCGCCGTCCCTCCCGACGGGCGATTCCGACGGGCGAGTAGACGCCTCCGCCAGCCCCGCGGGCGTTGGGAAGGGTCGTCATTCGCACGCCCCTTTGCCTGCAACACATCGATGCAAGTTGCCCGTAATAGCAAGGCTACCAACCCCAGGACGCTTGGATCTGACATCCTCGGCCGCAGGAAGCCTCGCCGCCATGTGTTGCGTCTCTCGAGTTGCACGCCGAGCTTCTTGCACGGGCGGATATCACATGCAGTATCACAGCACACGAGATGAATGGTTTAATAACATCCCATCACTGCTTGATTTATCCACCAGCGCGCCACGATAATTAGGTTCTTATTATCTTAATCATGCAGCTATTTCCTTCGCTTCTATCATCATTATCCCTTGTCTTCTCTTTATTATAGATAATTGATTTATCGCGACTGAGTTTTTGTTCCGAAGACAAACGACACCTTTAACATTTGTGCGTTTCATCTTCCGGCACGAAGGCCATCGATCCCTCCCAGACTTTATATAAAATGGAGTTTTCCCTTTCTCGTCAACCGGCAATGAATTCACCGCAATTTCCCCGCAGTCCACGCGTTTTCTTTGTACTTTCGGCGTCGCAGTAGACATCTGCCTCCGAATTCCGTGCCGTCCTCTGCTTGTCACGTCGCCCCCGGCAGGACGAGAACCCGCTCTGGAATTCGCGCGGAAAAAGTGTGTCCTGCACGTCAGCTGCTCGCTCTTCCCTCTGCTCGTCTCCTTTTCGGCAATTTCAGACGCAAAACAAAGACTCGTGAGTCTGTTTGTTTTTCTTAATCTATATTCGCTCCAAAAACGTAATCATTATGACTTTATCTATATTCTGAGCAGCTGAAAAAAAAGGAACGGCTTACAGGAACGACGCAAAAAAGAGAATAAAAGGAACGAAACAAGTACGATTATAGTAACGACTAAAAGAACACGAGAAGTGAAATACAAAGAGGAAACTTGGTTCGACGCAGTCACGCTCACCGGTCGGAGTCGTGAGGCACATGACACGATCCGTCGAGAGGATGCGGGAATCGAGGGGGGGGGGGGGGTTAAAGGTTCTGGGGGAGGAGGGGGTGGTATTTAAAGCTATCGGGGTGATGGGGTATTTAAAAAATCGGGGGAGGGGAGAGGAGGGTGCGTTTTTCCAATCAGCGCGTGAAGGTGTGTGTTTGTGTCTTCATTCCGTGCTGCTTCATTGATATTTTCTCATTCACGTTGCCTCATTTCGCAATGGATTTTCCGTTTCCCAGTCAAGGAGATTACGATATGTCACGGATTTTATTGACACGTGTGTGTGTGTGTGTGTGTGTGTGTGTGTGTGTGGTGTGTGTGTGTGTGTGTCGTGTGTGTGTGTGTGTGTTGTGTGTGTGTGTGTGTGTGTGTGTGTGTGTGTGTGTGGTGTGGATGTATGTGTTATGTGTGGTGTGTGTGTGTGTGTGTGGTATGTGTGTGTGTGTGTGATGTGTGTGTGTGTGTGTGTGTGTGGTGTGTTGTGTGTGTGTGGAGTGTGTTGTGGATGTGTATGTGTATGTGTGTGTGTGTGTGGGTGTGTGTGTGTGTGTGTGTGTGTGTGTTGTGTGTGATGTGTGTGTGGTGTGTGTGTGTGGTGTGTGTGTGTGTGTGGTTGTGTGTGTGTGTGTGTGTGTGTGTGTGTGTGTGTGTTGTGTGTGTGTTGTGTGTGTGGTGGTGTGGGTGTGTGTGTGTGTGTGTGTGGTGGTGTGTGTGTGTGTGTTGTGTGTGTGTGTGTGTGTGTGTGTGTGTGTGGTGTGTGTGTGTGTGTGTGTGTGTGTGGTTTGCTGTGTGTGTGTGTGTGTGTGTGTGTGTGTGTGTGTGTGTGTGTGTGTGTGTCTGTGTGTATGTGTGTGTGTATGTGTGTGTGTTGTGTGTTGTGTGGTGTGGTGTGTGTGTGTGTGTGTGTGTGTGTGTGTGGTGTGTGTGTGTGTGGTGTTGGGTGTGTTGGTGTGTGTGCTGTGTGTTGTGGTGTGTGTGTGTGTGTGTGTTGTGGTGTGTGTGTGTGGTGTGCGTACGTGCGTGTGTGCGTGAATATGTATATCACTGCAAATCCGTGTGAAAGAAGCCACAGTGCTTCTCTCGACAAAATAAATATCAGTTCGGGTCCAGTCCTAAAGCACAGTCAGAGCAGGCTATGCTGGTATGTCAAATTTCGACTTCCTTTGTCATGCAACCTCTCGCATGACATATGCCAGGGACACAATTTTACGAGAAATCAAATGCCAGAATAATAATTTCTAGTTCCTGAAGGCTAAAATAAGTCGTTTCACAGTTTCATGTAAATGATATTGACTCTGTTATCTTTATTAATACCTGCCTTTTTCGTCTTGGAAATGTTTTTCATCAGCACAGGATCTCTCATTCTTTCTGCATACTTCCTTTCCCCTTCTCATCCCTCTTTCTACTTCTACATGATTTTCCTTCCCTTTCCTCTCCCTCTCCTTTTCATTTCTTCTGACCTTGCTTCTCCATTCTTTCTGAGACTCCCTACTATTTTTTTTTCTTATCCGTATTCTTCGTCAGCCTCCCTTTCCTCTTTCATTCTCCTTTCTCGCTTCCCTTATTTCTCTTCCAGTCTTCCTATCCCTCCTATCTCTCTTTCTGAAAATAAACCCCGCCCCTTGGAAGCCCCGCCCGGGTCTCAGCGCCCGCCTTCCGTCATCTTTCCTCTCTTTCTCACTTTCTCTCCCTCTCTTTCTTTCTCTCCCTCTCTCACCTTCTCTCCCTCTTTCTCCTTCTCTCCCTCACTTTCTTTCTGTCCCTCTCTTTCCTCTCCCGACTCTCCCTCTCTCTCTTCTCTCCTCCTCTCGTTTTCTTTTCTCCCTTTCCCGTTTTCCTCACTCCCTATACTTTCCTTCTTTTCTTATCTATAATCTTTACTTTTCTCATTCTCTATTTATCATCATATCATATCATATCATATCATATCATATCATATCAATCATATCATATCATATCATATCATATCATATCATATCATATCATATCATATATCATATCATATCATATCATATCATATCATATCATATCATATCATATCATATCATATCATATCATATCCTATCATATCATACCACAGTATATCACATTACCTTATATTACATCATGTCATATACTTGTTCCCAGAGCCTCGGCCCGCCCACCCCGCGGAGGCGCATATGCAGCAGGGCCAAGTCGAGGCAGACGGAGACCCCGATGCCATTAATCCAGATGCAGGACGCTTGCATGATGATGAGGTGATGTACATGCAGCCGTGCATATAACAACGCCCTCGCATCCACACGCCCAGCATACTCCATTCACGCCCACCGTCAAGCAAAGCACAAGAACTGAAAAGCCAACTTACGTGCAGAGGGCGATGCCGTCTTTGAGGGCGTGCCCGAATGCCAGCTGGTCGGTGAGGCCTTCCGCCGTCGGGAACTCCAGGGGCATCTTCGTGACGCCCTCCACCCAGTCGCACGCCTCCCGCGCTCTGTTGATGTCGAACTTGGCCTGGCTCTGTGGGCGGAGACGGAAGGGGCGGTCAGTGGCGGGATCTCGCTAAAAGTCGAGAGAATGTTCGCGCTGCAACAAGGCAACGACCCAAACGGGGCTCAGAGGCAGCAATGCGAGCGAGGGCGTGGACCCCATGCAAGGGATGCCATGCTACTCGCTGTGCATTAGTGGGCGTGCCTGCTTGCATGTTATGGACCTTGCTCACGATAGGCATTACTCATGTCTGTTCGAATGCCGCGGAATATGTGCTTTTCTACTCATTTCTAGTATAGCGTTCCCTTACTTAAAAACAACAAACCGATCAATACTCTCGCCATCCAGTTACCTCCACAAAAAATATAAAAATTAACCAAAAAAAATATTAAATACATAAATGAAATAAAACATGTAAATAAATCAGGCTACAGCAGGACTCGCTGGTTCCTCGTTCGTATATTCACACACGACCAGAAAAGCGACAAAAAAGCTTTCCTGCTTAGTTCAAGAGCCGACCGCTACTAGTCGGCAGTGCACCTGCGACGCCAGGCCGGAGCCACGACCAGAGCAGCTGAAATTCGCACAGGATGTGTTTGCGCAAGTCAGCGCCAAGTGCCCAACGCTGACCAAGAAGCCAATCGCCAGATCAGCAGATTGCACGAGGCACTGCAGCATGAATGAATAACTGTTGCTGTATGCATCACGCCCTACACGATGATGATTTTCATGATAATTCCTTTATTATTGACAATAATGATGATAATGACAATGATAATGACAATAATAATGATAAAATCATAATTATATGATAATTTTGATAATTACTGCAATAATGGCAATAATTTACTCTATTCCAATAATTTTCATACAACTGTTGCAGTATGCACCACGCCCTCCGCGATGTGCTCTGACGCCTGTGCAGTTACCCAAAGCCAAAAAGGTAAAAGCGCCGCTTCTCCCTCCTTCCTAAGCCCATACATTAAGTGGCGCTCAAGCTGCTTCTACCTCGAAACGCGTTCTTATAACTAACACGGAAAGCAACTGGGAACTAGCAAGCTTTTTCAGAACGTAAAAGAAGAGAAACAGCGCAATAAAGGAGGAAGGAAAGACATCGAGAAAAGAGGAAATAGTAAAGATGGGACAAACTCTAAAGAATAAGGAACACATGCTAAAGAATAAGGGAAATGCACTAAATAACGAAGAAGACGCAACATTTCCGAGAATGAAACACATCACAGTGAGATTCAAGTACGATCTTATCAAATAAGAAACACCACAGATGCAACAGGAAGAGAGTTCGTTTCTGTCATCTCAAAGATGGTCAGAATAGATAAGAGAGGAAGGTTAGGACGAGCGATGTTAAGGCCACAGGGAAAGCTTCTAAGGTCATCGGGTTGCAGCTGATGACCTTAGTAAGAGGTCGTTAAGCTCTCTCTTCATCTTGCTTTCCCGTCCTTTCTCTCCCTCTCGCTCTCGTTCTTTTATCTTCTCTTAATCTTAATCTCCTCTCTCCGTCACTCCATTCCCTCCTCCCCTCATCCTCCTCTCCCTCATCCCTCCTCCCTCCCTCCCTCATCCTCCCTCCCTCCCTCCTCATCCTCCTCCCTCTCATCCTCCTCCTCCCTCCCTCCGCCTCCTCATCCCTCCCTCCTCCCCCTCCTCCTCCCTCCCTCACCCTCCTCCCTCCCCTCCCTCCCTCCCGTCCCTCCCTCCCTCCCTCCATCCTCTCCCCCTCCCTCCCTCCCTCCCTCCCTCCTCCTCCCCCTCCCCCCTCCCCTCCCTCCTCCTCCCCTCTCTCCCACCGATCGCTTCCCATCCCTCCTGTGGCGTCACATCGCGTGGTTCATCGCCTCCGGGCCATCCCCGCGGAGCACAAAAAAGAGAAGGAAAGCACACACACGCGGGCCGGGAGAGCCAACGACCAGGCGAGAGGGCAGGAGGGGGCGCTCTCCTGGCAGAGGTCAAAGGCACGTGGAAGCCGGCGCCAGGGGTCTCTCCCTCGCCCTCTTGCCCTTCTCTCTCTGCTTGTCCTTCTCCCCTTTTCTCTTCTTGCTTCCCTTTTCATTTTTTCTTCCTTGTCCTCTTCTCCTCTTCTTTCTTTCTTGCCTTGTCCCTCTCCCCCTTCTTTCTTACCTTGTCCCTCTTCTGTTTCTCCTTCTGCCTATCTTCTATTTTTCATTCCTCTCCCTTTCTCTCCTCCTTTCACTTCTTTCTTTTCTCCATTTTCACCGTCTTTCTTTCTCCCTCATCTTTCTCTCATTTTCTTCTTTCCTCTCCGCTATTATCGTTACCATTATTATTTTCATTATTATTATCATTATTATTATCATCCTTATCATCATTAATATCACTGCTGTCGCCATCATCATGATCATCATCACCAATCATTATTTGTACAATTGCACATATGCATATGTACATATCTACATCCATACATATATACGTATGTATGCATTTATGCAGTATCATGTTTACTATTACCTCCACCAAGGAGATTGTGTTTTGGGTCGCATGGTTAGTTTGTTTGTTTCTCTGTTCGTTGGTTGGCAGGATAACTCAAAAAGTCAAGAACAGATTTTTACGAAAATTTTCCCAGAGGAGCGTCAGCCTCACTTGGACTCCACCAAATGCTGGCGGTGATCCGGGTCTTGATTCGGATCAGGAATCTTCCGAAGGACCCTCTCGCGTCCGCCACACACACACACACACACACACACACACACACACACACACACACACACACACACACACACACACACACACACACACACACACACACACACACACACACACACACACACGCACACACACACACACACACACACACACACACACACACACACACGCACACACACACGCACACACACACACACGCACACACACACCACACACACACACACACACACACACACACACACACACACACACACACACACACACGCACGCACGCACGCACACACACACACACACACGCACACCACACACACGCACACACACCACACGCACAACACAAACACGCAACACACACGCACACGCACACGCACACGGACGCCGCCTGTGCGCTCGAGGAAGGTGATTTTAGTGTAATTCTTCAAGCGCGAATATTTCCATCGCGTCAGTGACCTCATTGCCTTGGCGGAGGTATGCTCTCTCTGAGTGCTTCTACTTATTATTCTATTCATCGCCATCACTCATTTCCATATTCATTATTGCTATCACTATTACTAAAGTTATTGCTGCTGCTGGTGTTTTTATTTGGCATTGTTCCTGTTGTCGTTGTTGTTATTATCATTATCATGATTATTATAATTACAATCATTCTCGTCGATAACTTTATCATTATCATTATTGTACCTGTGCCTACTGCTGCTACAACTGACACCATTACTACAACAATTACAAAATGGTGAAAAATAAGCCCGCGTTCCATCCCAGTGTGGAAGTCGCCTCTCGTTATCTAATCAAGTGGTATGTTCGAAGGCAATATCAATACCGCTGCAGCTTATCGTTGAGATCTGCCGTGGCCTTGGTGACGTATCTTCACTTCGCAAGGGATAAGCGGATATGATAACCTATGTATATAATAAATAAAATAATAAAGAGGTTCAGTTACAATGCTACTGTCAGTATCTCAGACAATACCAGTTTTGCAATATTTTTTTTCACTTTTCGTGTTTTTTTTTATTTTGTTTAACAATTAAAGGTTATTATATGAGATGGTGTTGCTGCACAGACACTGCTGCTGATTTACTGCTTCTGAAGCTATTACAGTCACTGCTGCTGCTTGTAACCTGCTCGCAATGCTGCTGCCGACATAACTGTGTGCTGCCTCCGCCCCCGAGCCAGCAGGGCGCCCCGGGCGTCACGTTTGGCGTCGCGTTGATGGGCAGGACCTCGTTCGCACGCCGTCTCGGCGCCGCCACTTCCGACTCATCATTACCACCATAATATTTACACACGCTCACGTGCATGTATATAAACACACACACACACACACACACACACACACACACACACACATATGTATATATGTATATATGTATATATGTATATATATATATATATATATATATATATATGTATAATATATATATATATATATATATATATATATATATATATATATATTAATATATATATATATAGTTATATAGTTATATATAGTTATATACATATATAACCATGCACATACACGGGACTAGTTGCACGCACCGGGTGCTTGTCCAAAACAGGAAGTCGTGTACGCAACAAAAAAATAAAAAAGCGATACGATAAGATAAGCACCAGAACCGCCGCCCAAGTACACCTCTGCTTGCCGACCCTCGCTCGCAGGCAGCGGCAGCGGGCGGGATGGAGCAGCAGAACAGGCTACACTGCCCAGGTTCCCGCGCTGAAAAGGGGACTTGGCGGAGGAACTGCAGGCATTTCGCGCACGTGTGAAGGAGGGAGCAAAGGAAAGAGGAAGAGGGAGACAGGAAAGGAGGGAGAGGGGGAGAGAGGGAAGGAAGGAGGGAGAGGAGGAAAAGGAGAAAAGGAGAGAGGAATGGAGGGAGGGAAAGGAGGAAAGGAGAAAGGGAGGGAGGGATGAAGGGAGGTAGGAAGAGAGGGAGAGAAGGAAGAGCCGGAACGAGAGCCTCTGCGCCAGCTTCGGTTGGGGTTGCTTGGGCCGCGTTGCTGAAGAGGATGTTTAGTCATCTCCGAGAAAATAGTCACTCTATTTCATAATTCTCTCTCTCTCTCTTTCTCTACCTCTCTCTTTCTTTCTTTCCCTTTCTCTTTCTTTCTTTTCCTCTCCCTCTATCCCTCTCTCCTTCTCGCTCTCCCTCTCTCTAGCGTTCCTTCCCCCTCCCTTCAGTCCTCCCATCCTCTCCTCCCCCCTTATTCCTTCTCCCTCACCACAATAACCGCCTCCCCAACCAGCACCAACGCCCGCAGCTCCTTCTCGGTGCTCCTTGGGAAAGCACAGACAGAGTCGGAACGGAGCGATGGCTAACCTCCTCCTCGTCGGACGTCGCAAGCAGAGCGGT